GAGACACGGACAGGGACAGGGACAGGGGGACAGGGACAGGGACAGGGACAGAGGGACAGGGACAGGGACAGGAACAGAGAGACAGGGATGGGGACAGGGACAGGGACAGGGACAGAGGGACAGGAACAGGGACAGAGGGACAGGGACGGGGGACAGGGACAGGGACAGAGGGACAGGGACAGGGGGACAGGGACAGGGACAGAGGGACAGGGACAGTGGGACAGTGCACAGGGATAGTGAGGCGGGACAATGAGAGTGCACAGGGACAGTGGGACAGTGAGAGACAGGACAAGGACAGCGCAGCAGGACAGTGAAACAGGACACAGGGACAGGGAAAGTGCACCAGGATAGGAGCACCAGATAGGGCACGGGGACACTGCACCGGGACAGGCACAGGGACAGGGACAGGGACAGCGAGATGGTGTCACAGGAAAGTGCCCCAGGCCAGAGCCCAGGTGTGGAGCACTGGGACAGCCCTGGGACAGGACTTTGGGACAGTTCTGTGATGCACCAGGGCGGTGCAGGGACACTGTGGCCCCAGGACGGGGACCCTGTGCTAGGGGACAGTGCCACGGGGCAGTGGCAGAGCTCTGTGATGCTGCAGTGGGCACAGGGACATCTTAGGGTGCCACCCGGGCTGGGCAGCAGGACAAGGCTGGCAGGGGAGCTCTGGGACACTGGCACAGGGTGGCTGTCCCTGGAGCCCTGGCAGTGCCCAAGGCCAGGCTGGATGGGACTTGGGGTACCCTGGGACAGTGGGAGGTGTCACTGCCATGGCAGGGGTGTCACCGGGTGGGATTTAAGGTCCTTTCCAACCCAATCCATTCTGGGATTCTGTGATAATCGTCCAGGATTCTGGGGCCACGCATGGGGACATTGGGGCCATGCGCTGTGGCACCAGGACAATGCAATGGGGACAGGGACAATGGAGCCAGGCACCAAAGGTGCCAGGGGAGGGAGCAGGAGGCTGGGACACTGCACTGGCAGGGCTGGGTACTGCCCTGGGGATCTGGGACACGGCACCGGGACAGTGCCACCGGGCCACCGGGCAGGAGCAGGGTCCCATTGCAGGGAGGGGACAGCTGGGTCAGGCACAGCAATTGTTAATTATTATCCAATTTTATCCACTGTTCTTTTATTCACTGCATACTCTTAACCACTGTTAATTATTATCCAACAATTAATTATGGTAGAAAGGAAGGGGCAGAATTTGGGGTCTCTGAGCCCCCCAAGTGAAGCCCCTCTGCTCCAAGGGCTTCCTTTGAGGGCAGGGAGCTGTGGGGACATGGGGACATGTGTGACCTGGCAGAACAAGGTGCCCTGGGGAGGTGGGAGGTTCTGGGGTGCTGTGGGGACCATCAGGATCCAGCCTGGCCCAGGGCTGGGTGCTGGGATTGGGATGCAGAGCACCTTTCACCATCCCTGTGCTGGCTTCATCCTTGCCTCACACTCCGTTTTTCCAACCTTAACCCCAAATCCAAGTGGGTCAACAGCCCCCTAACCCTTCTAAATCACATCCACATCGCCTGGGGAAACATTTTCTTTGCCGATTGAAGACAAATAAATAGAACAAAACAAATAATAATAATAAAATGAAATAAAAGCAGTAAACTCTTTTAAAGCTCCGGCCATTTCCGAGCTCTGACTCAGGATTCCTGCTCGGAACAGCCTCGGGCCTCGCTGGCTGCGCCTGGCGGCTCCCGGGCGCTGATTCACGGCACACGTGCTGTGCTATAAGCGGCCGGGAATGCGAGCTGCAGCTTCCCCGGGATCGCTTCCAGCCCCTGCCGGCCGGGAGAAAACAGCAGCGCCGCGGGAGGGGAGGGAGCAGCGGCGCGGGGATTCGCTGTTTTGCAGCCAGAGGCGTTTATCCTGCTCATCCCGGCGGGCCGAGGCATCTGCCGCCGAATTCCCGGGAATGCGCTCCAATGGGAGGAAGAGCACTTGGAGCAGAGCCCGGTTATGCTAGTTGCAAGCGCAGTTTTGGGGTGACTCTGGTGTCCCCCCGTCCCCAGAGTACTCAGGAAGAGCTTTATCCCCCCAAACACAGCCCAGGGACTGCACAGATGTGTTCCCAGCTGTCCAGATGTTGCAGGAGTTGCCCAGGTCTTGAGCCACAGCACTAAAACACTGTCCCAGGCTGCTCAGATGCTGCCCAGTGTCTCCCTGCAGGTACAGATGTTGCTGTGGGATCAGCAGAGATTGTCCCAGGAGTTACCCAGATGTTGCTCAGGACACACAGACATCACCCACGATGCCCAGAGGTTGCCATGAGCGCCCCAATATTCCCTCAGTATATTCCAACATCCCCCAAGGTGCCCAGATGCTGCCCTCAGTGCCCAGATGTCACCCCAGGATACTCAGGTATCACGGTGCCCAGATGTTGCCCAGATGTTGCTCCAGTCTGCCCTGCTCTCACCCCAGGGGCTGGCAGCACCCCTGTGGCCCTGGCACTGGGGAAAGTCACCTCCTCTTCCTGTCCTGTAGCTCCTGGTCCCCACAGCCCAGTCAGGCTGGGATGGGCTCCCTGCTTCCCTGGACACTCTGGGTTTTTTGGAGAAACAGCCACCCACCCTTCCTGCCCCAGCACCCTCAGGGGTTGTGGGAGAATGTCAGCCAGGGCCAGAGGGAACAGCCCCAGGCTGGGCCAGGGAGGCTCAGGGTGGGCACCAGCAGGAATTTCCCCATGGAAAGGGGCTCAGGCCTTGGCAGGGGCTGCCCAGGGAGCTTTGGAGTGCCCATCCCTGGAGGTGCCCGAGGACAGTTGGATGGGGCACTCAGGGCTCTGCGCTGGTGACAAGGGGGGGTCAGGCCTGGACTTGGTGATCCTGGGGGCCTTTCCCACCCTAAACCCTTCTGGGGTCTGTGTGTGCGTGGCTGCACACTCACACACACTCACACTCACACTCACACTCACACTCACACTCACACACACATTCACACACACACACACATAGTCACACTCACATTCACACTCAAACTTATATTCACACACACAGAGATGCACACTCACACACTCACACTCACACTCACACACACACACACTCACACACACTCTCACACATTCACATTCACACACACCCACTCTCACTCACACACACTCTCACTCTCACTCTCAGTCACACTCACTCACACTCACACTCACACTCACACACACTCTCACACATTCATATTCACACACACCAACTCTCACTCACACTCACACATTCTCACTCACACTCACACTCACACACACTCACACACACCCACTCTCACTCACACACACTCTCACTCTCACTCTCAGTCACACTCACTCACACACTCACACACTCTCACTCACACTCACCCACTCTCACTCACACACTCACAC